CGTTTCTTTTCACAAAGTCTAGTTGAATGTCATGAAAACAAGACTAGTTGAATGTCATGAAAACAAGTCGAGTTGAATGCCATGAAAACAAGACTAGTTGAATGTCATGAAAACAAGTCGAGTTGAATGCCATGAAAATAAGTCTACTTGAATGTCACGAAAACAAGTCTAATTGAATGTCATGAAAACAGGACTAGTTGAATGTCATAAAAACAAGTCTAGTTGAATGTCATGAAAACAAGTCTAGTTGAATGTCATGAAAACAAGTCTAGTTGAATGTCATGAAAACAAGACTAGTTGAATGTCACGAAAACAAGTCTAGTTGAATGTCATGAAAACAAGTCTAGTTGAATGCCATGAAAACAAGTCTAGTTGAATGTCATGAAAACAAGTCTAGTTGAATGTCATGAAAACAAGTCGAGTTGAATGCCATGAAAACAAGACTAGTTGAATGTCATGAAAACAAGTCTAGTTGAACAGCTGGTGGTCTCAACATTTCTTGTGGAAACACAGAACATAAACAAAAACAATATATATTTCATTAAAGCTATGTTGATCTGTTCAGTAACATTCCTTTTGGCTAGCCATTGTATTAGGTGTTTATCATTTGATATGATCTATATGTTTCTCAAAGGTCAATTGTTTGGAATTTCTGTAGCTTATTTTGATCGATTATCGCAGTTTTATATCATAAAAGGAACAATTGTTAATCTACTTTAGCGTGATAAAACCTCCTTTGTTAATGTGACTTTCGTGTTGTACTTCTACACGCCTTTTTGAAGTTTGTCTACTGTACATCACCCTTTCCAGTGACACAGAGAAAAATGTTTATAAAATGTTCCCCACAGTTTGTCTACTGTACATCACCCTTCCCAGTGACACAGAGAAAAATGTTCCCCACAGTTTGTCTACTGTACATCACCCTTCCCAGTGACACAGAGAAAATATTAATAAAATGTTCCCCACAGTTTGTCTACTGTACATCACCCTTCCCAGTGACACAGAGAAAAATGTTTATAAAATGTTCCCCACAGTTTGTCTACTGTACATCACCCTTCCCAGTGACACAGAGAAAAATGTTTATAAAATGTTCCCCATAGTTTGTCTACTGTACATCACCCTTCCCAGTGACACAGAGAAAATATTAATAAAATGTTCCCCACAGTTTGTCTACTGTACATCACCCTTCCCAGTTACACAGAGAAAAATTTTTATAAAATGTTCCCCACAGTTTGTCTACTGTACATCACCCTTCCAAGTGACACAGAGAAAAATATTAATAAAATGTCATCTACTGCTCCCTTGGTAAATTGCCCTTTTATACTTTCTAAATGTTAAATCCAAACTCTTGCTTCTCAACAATGTAATAAACAAATTATAGTAAAATTTATTGTTGGGATTTATGTTTCAAAGTTTCTCCTACTCTTGTAAACTGTTCTGTTTCAATGAGAGTAAATGCAAAGTTTCACGATACAGTAACAAACAAAGTGACATTTCAAATATCATTACAATTCTATACGGGCACTAACAACTGAAACAAAAGTATTGATACTGTGTTTGGAAAGTCTTACATTTTTGGCATTCCTATCAAATTTTTCAGTTATATGTTAATAGTTAAGTATCCTAGAATACCAAATAAATCAACATCTTTTTGTACAAGTCAAAATTCAGTGAGTATTGCTCCCCGTACTCACAAATGTGCAGTATGTTTGCAGATTCAGATATTTTGTTTTATTACATGTGAAACAGTATATCAACATAGGCTGGTCTTATGATTAGCACCTTGATAATATTATACAAATTTATCATCAGAATAATATAAGTTCTTTAGAATCAAACATCCACTAAAAGTTGTGTAAAACAAGTCAAATAGACTGAGAAATTATTTAAATTTTACAAAATAACTCAAGCATATTTTTTCTGTTAATTGTCCTCGTAAACTTCATGCTAATTTACAGTTGCAGACAAGCTGCAGGTTTTAGTAGATTAGATTATATATTCACTGATACAGAAACGGATTCAGCTGCTACAAACCGCTAATGTGAAGTAGATCGACAACGATTTTACATTTTGATAAACTGCCTACTCAAGTGTGGAGCGAAAGGAATGATTAGAGGTTTTAATAAAATCATTTTCACGTAACGTGTAGTGGAGCGATAATGATTTTAAGTTTCTACGTCGGATGAATGTCACAAACGTTCACAGTTTTGTTTGAGGTAAAAAACACTTCAATCTCGTTGCTTTTTTGCAGATGTTTTATATTACAATAAAAAACTGCCAGTAGCAGTATCCTTCAGGAATATATTGTCAAACATGTCTTGCTGAATGCCTGTAATTCTATCCGAAAATAGGCCACAACGTTCACAAAGGGAAAATCACAAATCGATATAGTCTCCAATCACTGACAGTTAGGCCTACTTTCTCTATTATGGATTTCATTACCTGCACTCCCAGTTCGCCCACTCTTGTCAGTTCTAAATTATTTAAACCGCACATTCGCAGTGAAGAAGGAAACCTCAGTGCATCTACAATTATGTGCGGAATGGTTCGCTTATTAATCTGTTAAAATACGTACCAGAAATAGCCATTTAACGAGAGACTTCACAAAACAACGATGCTAATTTTTTATAGAATACATTTAGACGCTTTATATTCCTCCCTGAAAGTACTTGTTCAGTCCCAGTGTTAACCATTTTGCCACTCTAAAGAGGTTTTGAATTTGCCACACCTTCTTCAGTTTCCCTTTCAATGCTTCAACAAAATAGTAAAACCACAAATCGAGTCCAATTTATTTGTTTATTAAAGCATAGGAATATGTTACACTAACAGTTAACAAGTCAACAGTTTTCGATTTCTTTGAAACAAAATTGCACACTACTTACTTCAAAATAATTTTTGTGTAATTTTCTGCTCGATCAAAATTGCTGCTAATCCAACTAATTTTATTAATGTCATTCTTTCAAAACAGCAATGACGATGGACAAAGTCAGCAGAATTCTAAATGTGTTAAATGTGTCAGAAGATGATGAGGCTAATCTAATGTGATCTTGTCTGTTATATGACAATACTTTTTTGGAATCATTTAAATCATTATTCATAGAAGACTGAAATTCATTATATTGTTACGACATCGAAAGTCACGTGACGCTGCTGGCGTGGGCTAGGAGTTTCTCAAATGATCGTGAATTTCCTATTTTCTTCGGGA